TGTAATTTTTTGTATCTTGTCAAACTGTAGCTTGGAATTAAAGGGCATATTCAGTAACCATTTCATGACTAAGTCAAGCTTGACATTTCCTTTTGTCTTAGCAACTTCCAGCCCACCCCTGGTAGCTGAATTTGAAGGCTGGAATCCTGAGCCATGGACCTCAGAGCACACTGTTCGGAGAGGTCCCTGCAGAGGTGGCTGAGGTGACCTAAGTTATGACCCTTACAGAGGAGCCAAGCCAGCCCTGTCCCAGCCATCTGAGATGTGGGGCTTCATCACCACAGCCCCAGGACACCAACACCACACTGGGACTCAGCAGGGACTTTGGGAACAACTAGCCAATCCTGAATCAGCGGCCAGTGCAGTCTCCAAGGTCCCCTGTGCTCCTCCCGGGTCGTAAAGGTCTGCAGGGCAAGCTTAGGGCCACCTTGCTCTCCAGGTGAGATGTCCACACCCCTCCCTCACTCTCCGAATATTTTGTCCAGAACCTTGTTATGGCTGAGGCACACCATGTGTCGTAGTAGTTTTCTTCTCAGAAGATATTCACCGTCATTACTGTGACACTTGCCCACTGGTACTCTAGAGTTGCTCTTCCATCAAGCCATAAGCTTCCTGCAATGCCCAAAGAATTCCTGATGTTCACACTCAGTGAGGACAGAAGGAAAAAAGCAAAGAAACTGGAGTCTGATTTTACAGATAGCCCTCCTGTCAGTCTCCAGCTTCCTAGAGCCACGCAGGCTGAGCAGGTACACCCACCCACCTGTTCCCTGAACCTGCTTTTCCTCTCCACAGGCCGCCCAGCCCCCACAGCAAGCAGAGGCCAGGGGCTCCCGGTGGAGAAGGGCAACCCTGGGTGTGGGCCCTGCCTGGCCTTTACTCCCTGAGGAGGTGGGATGCCCAGCAAGGCTTCTCCTGTCCTAGAGGAGACGCATGTAGCACCTTGGGGGCCCAGCTGTTCCACCCAGTCCAGGTGGGCTCCAGGCTCTGCCCAGGGGACTCTGCCCCAGGCCCAGGCCCAGACCAGGCAGGGACTCACAGCAGCCCTCCCGCCACAGTCCTACAGGTATGGCCTGGAACAGATGACAGAGCGTTTCAAACATCCACCCTACTCTTCCCAGAGACTCCTGATTGCTCTGCAAAGATTTTTATCATTCTGCTCTTTTCGTCTCCACTTTTTTCCTGGCTGGAGTATTTTTAAAGCCATTTCCAGACTTCATGGTCTTCTCAAGTCAAATGAAAGCAAATCTGCCAACAAAAGTAAAAGATAAAAACAGGAAAAAAAAATCTTTCAGAAGCACAGAGGTAGAGAGCAGAATATAGCTGCTGGGGCAAGAAATGAATCAGACTGTATTTCCCCCAAATAAGACCAGGTCTTATATTAATTTTTTCTTCAAAAGGCACGACAGGGTTTATTGTCAGGGGCTGTCTCATTTTGTTATGTATGACGATCTACACTTATTCATGTATTCGTGTACAGACGTCCACACTTATCCAGACACAGTCATGTTATCTTTTCTGGAACATCATCATAATGCTCCAAAATTGCCTGGGACTCCACTTCCCGTAGATTGGCCCCAATCTCCCGTGTCCCCAAACAGAGCTCTACTTAAATGAGCACTTCCTGTCCACGTAGCCAGCTGCTCGTGCGCAGGCAACACAGCTGTCAGTGATCTTATGCCCTGACTTCTTCACCCAAGTCACCTGGTGCAGGCTGGGCTTCACAGGTTTCTATTCAATCAGTGTTAACTGAAGACTTAGGAGACAGTCCCAGCCGGGCGTGGTGCTGCACACTGGTAATCCCTGTGCTTGGGAGGCTGAAGCAGTAGGATCAGTGGGAAGATAGGCCAGCCTGGACTATACAGTGAGTTCAAGGCCAGCCTGAGTGGGACCTTGCCTCAAAAGAAAAGAAAAGAAAAGAAAGATAGTCTACAGAAAAGCGATGAGAAATTGCAGGCAGCAGAATTCAGAAACGGTGTCTTTATTTCACACAAGTGTGTTAAGTACATCCTTACAACACATGACACAGTGAATTGTGAAGATTCAAGTTAGACACAACCACGCCTGCTCACTATCAAGTGTGCACATTATTTGTGTGTTGTCTGTCCTCCGACTGGTCACTTGGCAATAAATCTCAAGTTCATCCGTTTACACAGGTGTTTACCTCACGTCCAAACGCGCTCGCTTGGGTATTTACAAATAAAGTACTTAATTATAATTATCATTTAAGTATCAATGTCAATAATATTATTTATATTTAATTATGTAAATATTACTTTATCATTCAATATGTCTGTCATGTGTCCAGCAAATGTGTTAAAATGTGTCCATGTGGGCTTAACTGGGCCTATTTCAGGGGTAGGACTCATATTACCAGCAGCCTGAAAAACCATGCTAGGGCTTATTTTCCAGTTAGGTCTTATTTTCAGAGAAATATGGTACATATATTAAAGATGCTAACATGTATGAGAATCCGCCACCGGGGCTGCCATATGAGGGCGACAGAAAGCGGTCATCTTGCCCAGAGTGGACACAGGAGGCAGGGAGGGCCGGGCAAGTGGGGGAAGAGGCCAGGCTGACGGGCAGGCAGGGGCTGCTCCCTAGGGGGACCTTGCTCAGGTGGGGCAAAGGTCAAGCATTCTGTCCTGGTCTCGGTAGGACCTGAGTGCTGGTTCTAAGAGGCACCAGCGGGCACCATTCATCTTGTCCTGGTACAAGGGGGGTGGGTGGGGCCCTGGGCAGTAAGCCCCACTCTGGGATGCCAAGAGGGGAATTTCTTTATCCATCCTACTTTCAGGCCTGCAGAGCTCAGGTCCAATTCCAAAGCATCCGTTTCTGTTCATGTTAGCAACACAGTTATCAGATATGGAAACACCCTACCAACCTACCAACCCCTCACATCCCTGAACCTTGGCCATGTTAGCTCGGGCCACCATGTGCCTCCAGGACTGGCTGGCCCCTGTCGTTATGTCTCTGAAGCCCCTCTAGTCTCCAACAGAAGCTGCCTTCCTTTCTACTGCAGCCTGCACCTGATGGGAACCAACAGGGTTCATGTGGCTGCACAGCTCTGGTACTATGGTGGTCTGGGGACCGGCAGTATGGCTCAGGGCTCTGAGCGGTGCAGAGTCCTGGCCATAGCAAGCCCTCAGGCCCCTGGTACCTGGTGATCTGCAGCCCTTGGGCTGCGAGCGCAGCTCTATAGTGCCCCCAGGTTCTGGTGGGCAGTGTGCAGGGCCAGGCAGCCCAGAGTCCAGCAACCAGGAGCTCCAGGGCAGGCTCTGTCCTCGAGAGTCAGCAGAAGCCCATGGCGTCTGGCTGGCCCCCTCGGCAGCTGCACTGAGAGCGGACCAGCAGGCCAAGCTGTGGCCGTGCTCCCTCCAGCTAAGGCCCACTCATTCCTCCCAGGCCTAGGCTGCCATCAGGGCCTCGCCTGGACTTTCCGAGGGACAGCCCAGGGCCCACAAGCTCCTGAAGCACCCTGATCTCTCACAGGCCCTAGGTGACTGGTCTGAGCCTGCCTGTGGAGAGGCCTGGCTTCCCTGTCTAGGTCTAAGGCCCCTGGGACTGCAGGAGGGTGGGCTGGCTGAGTACTCCAGGGGAGAGCACTGCTGCCTGCACAACCCTGCAGAGATCTTGCCAGAAAGGTGCCAGGTGCCAGGGCCTGACAGGAGGGAGTTTTGTCACAGGCTTGGCCCTCCATGCCTTGGCCCCAGGGGCCAGGCTGGACCCTGGATGGATCAGGAGGGCCACCCTATCCCTAGTGGACATCTCTCTCTCCCTCCACTCTTCCTGGAGCGCAAGCTGCTCTTGTCTAATGCCCTCTGACCTGCAAGCCCACAGGGACCTCACGCGGGTGCTGACCCTGAGAGGCAGTGTGCTCACGTTCACACAAAGGCACGCAGGATCAGGACCTATGCTTTCTGGCTGCTCTACAAGGTTGTGAGAGGAACTGAGGTGGGATCCAGAGGCTCCTCACTGGGGCCTCCAGGGCACCCTGGCTGAGTGAGCTGTGCCAGGCAGGGAGACCTCGCTGGGCCTTGGAATTGGCAGAAGGAGCGGGCGTGGACCAGGGCACAGGAGCTGGGAGTGGCACTGTCAGGCCCCAATGGCAAAGGACTTGTCTCTTCCTTCTGGGGCTTAACAAGAAAGGAGAGAGCAACCAGGCATGAGCCTGTCCAGGCAGAGCTGGAGGAAGGCCACCCATCAGCTCCCTGTGGCCAGGCCCAGGCAAGGCGGCCCAGGAAGGTCCTAGAATGCCAGGGCACAGCAGGCGGTAGGGCTTGGGGAGAAGGGATTCTGTCTTTCAAAAGCAGGGCACTGTCAGCCGGGCTGGCCAGTCAAGTCCTCAGAGCCAGCATCTGGGCCCCTGGGTATCTGGGGTCAGGGTCAGTCAGGTTCCTGCAGTCTCCTGGGTGTGGGAAAGATGGGAAATGCACAGCAGTCCCCACAGGTCTAGTTCCAGGCACAGCTCTCCAGCTCCCAATGGGCCCAAGAGGGAATGTTCTGGAGTGACTGGCTGCCCAGGTCAGTCTGCTGGAGCCCCTCCCACCTGATCACACAGGGAGGCCCTGGGGCATCGCCTCTGGAATGTGGAGGAGGCTGTAGAGCCAGGCCTTCCTCGTGCCTGCTGTGCGCACTGCCCACCATGCCGAGGCTGCAGGAGGCTACTCCTCCTCACCCTAATCCTTTGAACAGCAGCCCAGGGTGGCCCTCATGCCAAATGTCCACTCCTCGGGAAACCAAGTAGACAGGGATAAGGGATCCAGAGCACAGAGCTGCACCCATGAGTGTGAGGGGAAGAGGCTGGGTCACTGCAGTGGTCAGTAATTAGGCGACACGGTGCCTGCCCCATGGGGCTGCACTCTCCCCGGGCGCCATTCACCACTCAGGGAGGGGGACTCGTGGTGGGCAGGCAGGGAGGCCGAGGGTGGGGAGACCCAGGACAAAGGGACAAAGGGTGGGGAGTCCCAGGGCTGAGAGACCTAGAGCAGGGCAATCCAGAGATGGACCTAGAGATGGACCCAGAGCGGAGGTCCCAGGGATGGACTCTGCACCACGGGCTCCTTGGCATGGGCCCCATGGTGTGGTGAGGCTGGAGCCAGGCGGCTGTCCAGAGTGGACGCCAAGTCTCGAGTGTTCTGGGCCCTGGAGTGGGAGGAGCAGGTGGGAAAGCGCCCAGGTCTGCACACACCCTCCAACCCCTTCCCAGGCCTCAAGAAGGGCCCCGCCCACCACTCCCCGTTCCGACTCCGCCCCTGGCACAGTGCCCCGCCCCATACCGCTCCCCGCCCCG